AATAAAATTAATATTTTTAAATAAAAAAATATAAATTTGATATATTTACTTACATCTTTATTCAATTTTGTAGTATCAATAATTTCAATTGGAAAAATAGGAAAATTAGTTCTTAAAATAATAATTTTTTATGGTTAATAAAATAAATCTTTAATAAAATTTTGGTAGGTTGCAAATAAACATTCAAAGGAACAATATGCCCAAAGTGATCGAGAGGGTCATGTGATTGGCATATTCATTGATACATGATCTATTATTTTTACTTTAAACAAATTTATAATTTAAGTATATTTGTTACATATTGCAAACTTCTGTACGTACTTTTTTGTTATTAAAATTTCCTATTGTGGGCTACATACAAACGGAAAGTAATAGTTACATGAATAACACATAATTTTGTTTGTTCATTTAGGTATATTGTAACTTTGTGAGTTTATTTGTTATTAAAGTCTCATCATAGACTTTTATTAGGCTAATTTGCATTTTATTCTTTCTCTTAATTTGGCTCTATAAAAAGAAAATGTTATTTTCTTCTTTTTTATTATTTTGATCTCTTCTGATCCATGTAATGGCGGTCTCAAAGTTAATTTCTCATAATCAAATTGAGCATGATGATTGTAAAAGTTCTTTTGTTTTGCTTAGTTTTCAATTTTCAATCATTAAGATGGAAAATGGTTACATCATTCTCTTCAAAGAAAGTGATTCAAGGAAAACAACCCGAAAGGAATTTCACTTTCACTTTTATAAATTATGGAGATGACCAAAGGTTTGTGCAGTTGGGGCCACCATATAATTACAAAAGCAAAAAAAATCATTACATAGAAAAAAAAAGGGTAAGATGATTGCACCGATAAACCGATTTGACCATATAATGAACACAATAAAGTAACGGATCCCTTGATCAAAGTTGCAAAACCAAACAGAACATTGAACCATTTCAAGGTTTGGTTTATTAGTTATTTATTATTATTAATGTATGATACTACAATATTTAATATTTTAATAATATGAAAATTTTATTTTTTTATAAAATATAATATATCAAAATGATTAAAATTTGTAAATTGCAGACTTGGTTCAACCATTGTTTTGAGATTGTTTATTAAAACAAAATTATATTTTTATAGTTTAAAATGTATCAAATTATAAAATACTAATTATTAGATTAAAGAGAAATCTCTAATAAAAGAAAAATACTCCTTCATTCAATAATGGGTGCAATCTAAACTATAAAGTATTATATTTTTATTAAAAATTGAAAATCCAACCCAATTATTTTTATTAGTTTAAATGAATTTTTATAATTGACTTGAAATGTATAGTTTTTTTTTTCACTTTTTAAAATTTTAATTCAACATAGATAAATTAAACTAAGTTGTGCATTTATGAAAAATAAAAATGATATAGTTATAATATCATGTTATATTGTAAACTTAACATAATATATCATTATATAATTAGTTATTTTCACTTAAAGAATTTATTCGTAATATTATATATATCAACTCATTTACTAATATGTTATCTTCATGTAATAATATATCATAATATATCATAAATTTATAATTTTACATGATATTATAATTTAACATTAACATTACCATATGAAAAAGGTTCAATTTATCCCAAAATAGTGACCAAACATTGTTCTTTCTTTGACTGCTTTAAACATACTGAATGTGTTCATTGTACCCATTAGTGGGAACAATTTTTACTTTTTGGCCCACCATTGATGGGAGCCCTTGTTGATGCATCTTGTAGTTTATACTTTATATAAATGACTTATTGTCCCTATCCCATGCATAATAAAGATCAAGGATGTTACTAAAGCTAAAAGTTTTCTTATTTGCTCTTTTCACTAAGCGAGTTTCCGTCATTTAATTTGATATACATCCATTTGCATGATAGGACATAATTAAAAAAAAAAAAAAAATCTCCTCCCATAATATAAAAAATTGAAATAAAATATTTGACAAGCAACTCCGTTTACTACTATATCCCTATATAGTAATAAAAATCTGAAGGATATTATTCATAAAAAATAATAATGTTCAGAATGCAAATAAGACTTTCGTGAAATATTTTTTAAGCATAGACTTAAAAAAGATAGAAAACAAGATTTATTGGGCCTGCATGCGGTCAAGAAGAATTTTGAGCCCAATACAACTTGGTCCAACCCATCCCGATTTGTAGTTGGGCTTACCTTGTTTCATCACTTTCTCTGTCTTCTCCATTTCTTCCCGCTTCTCCCCTCCGTATACAGAGTTCTCCCCTGTTCATGAACTCTGCAAATCCAATCTTCACCCACCCAACCCTAAAATTCCTAGAGAAATGCAAAACCCTAGACAAGCTCAAGCAAATTCATTCCCAAATGATTACATCTGGGCTCTCTCTCCACACTTACCCTCTCAGTCGCCTCCTCCTCTTCTCCTCTACCCTCGACCTCTCCTACGCACTCACAGTCTTCAACCAAATCCCAAACCCAACAATCTTCCTCTTCAATACCCTTATTTCCTCCCTCACAACCCGCCACAAGAACCAGACCCATGTAGCTTTTTCTCTGTACAGCCGAGTTCTTGGGAACGGAACGCTTAAACCGAATGCCTTTACATACCCTTCTCTCCTGAAGGCTTGTGGGTCGCGTCCTTGGGTGCGCCATGGTCGAGCTCTCCATGCCCATATCTTGAAGTTCCTTGGATTTGAGTATGACGGTTTTGTTCAAGCTGCGTTACTTAATTTCTATGCTAATTGTGGCAAATTGGGTCTTGCTCGATATCTGTTTGATGAAATTATTGAACCGGATTTAGCTACTTGGAATTCTATACTATCTGCTTATGCACATAGTGCTAGTACAGGTGGGTTTGGTAGGATTAGTAGCGAGGATGCTAGCTTGTCGGTTGAGGTATTGGATTTGTTCTGTGAAATGCAGAAATCTCAGGTTAGGCCCAGTGAAGTTACTCTAGTGGCTTTAATAAGTGCTTGTGCTGATCTTGGCGCATTTAGCCAGGGTTCATGGGCACATGCTTATGTAGTTAAGAGTCATCTTAGTTTGAATCGTTATGTAGGTACTGCTCTCATTGAAATGTATTCAAAATGTGGACGTTTGGATTTAGCATTGCAACTGTTCGACCAATTGCCTCAAAGAGACACGTTGTGTTATAATGCTCTGATTGGAGGGTTTGCTATTCATGGCTATGGCCACAGGGCACTTGAGCTTTATCAGAGAATGCATGTTCAAAGGTTATTCCCTGATGATGTAACATTTCTAGTCACAATGTGTGCTTGCTCCCATGTTGGATTGGTAGAGGAAGGTTGCAAGATTTTTGAATCTATAAAGGAGATTTATGGAATGGAGCCAACAGTTGAGCATTACGGTTGTTTGGTGGACCTTCTAGGCCGAGCTGGTCGACTCCTAGAGGCTGCAGAAAAGGTAAGAACAATGCCAATGAAACCAAATGCTGTGTTGTGGAGGTCTCTGCTCGGGGCAGCTAGAATTTATGGAAACTTAGAAATAGGAGAGGTTGCATTAAAGCACTTGATAGAATTAGAGCCAGAAACTAGTGGGAACTATGTGCTTTTGTCAAACATGTATGCAAGCATAGATAGATGGGAAGATGTGAAGAGAGTGAGGGAATCGATGAAAGATCTTGGTGTCAACAAAGCACCCGGGAGCAGCTTGGTTGAGGTTAATGATGCACTGCATGAGTTCCTCATGGGAGATAAGACACACCCTTGTACGGAACAGATCTATTTGAAGCTTGAAGAGGTAATAGAAGGCTGAAGCAACATGGTCATAAACCATGAACCAAAGAAGTTTTATTTGACATAGAAGAGGAAGAAAAAGGAGATGCCCTTTCTTATCATAGTGAGAGATTAGCAATTACATTTGCTCTTATTGCATCAAATCCAAGTGCCCCTATCCGGATTATTAAAAATCTCCGGTTCTGTACTGATTGTCATGAAAGTACTTAGCTTGTTTCACTGGTATATGGAAGAGATATAATTGTAAGAGATCGAAATCGGTTTCATCATTTCAAAGATGGGACTTGTTCTTGTTTGGATTATTGGTGATACATCTCAGGTCGCCATGTATATATATGAGAGAAATGCCAAAGATGAAATTGATGCCAAACCTCCAATTTGCGTATTTCCATCCTTTTCTTCATGTTGTTGTTTAGCATTGACAAGATTGGATTGGCTCACAAGTCAAAACTGAAAAGGTCAATATTGCATTCCCTATGGTTTATTGGTGGTTACTACAATCTAAAAAGGTTGTTGGTAGATTACACTTTTAATGAGTGATCGAATCTTATTAAAAAATAAAATATTAATTTTTAATTTTTAGTTCTTAATCATTATTTTTGTCAAAAAAAAGAGAAAAAAAAGAGAAAAAAAAGGTCAATATTGTTCTTGCTGCGTATGCCCTGACGTGAACAGACACCTGCTCTAGTTACCCATCTGGACACAGTTGATGGTGCTGAGATATGACAAATCAAGAAATCCGCTTTTCTTAACACTGAAAATGCGAAGATTATTGTTGAGAGCAAAGAAAGTGTGGAAAGAAAACATGATTTCGTGTGCCATTGCGTTGCACCCCTGTGTAATATAAAGATATTTGAAATAAAATATATAAATAAAATTGATACTAACGCACGCACGCACACACACTCTCTCTCTCTACCAACAATTTTACCGTATAAAACTATGCACAATATGACAAGACAATATGATGAGACTATTAATGTGATATGTATAAATGATTTTTTTAATTAAAATTTATTTATCATATTATTTATATATTTTTTTATTTAATATTACATAATATGAATTTACATGATTGATATATATATATATATATATATATTTTGTATGAATGAGGTAAGTGCTTGAAAAAAAAGTAAAAATTAAGAAACTCTTCATCTAAAATGATAGAACCTCTTGTATTAATAGTTTATGTCTACATAGTTATTTATTTAGTTTTTAAGCCACTGCTCTTAAGTTTAATGGAAAAATTGAGGATCCATAACAGTTAAATTTAAGCTAACTTTTTAAAAATGAAAATTTAGGGTAACTATTTACCATATATATTTTTTAATCTAATTTGCTTCACCTTACAAATATTAGGAACAATTTACAACTTTGGCCTAAGCAGTAAAAAAATTAGGAAAATAACAACAAAGAAATTATTGTGTTGTTTTTGCAATTTAAACCGTACACTAGAAGAATATGGCAATAGTTTAACTCTATGCTCGGTATCCCATTCACTGACTCTTGGTAAGGTTTACTACAATGGATGGGTTAAAAACTTAAAAGGAAGTCTTTACACAATCTGCTAATTAAGTTAGCCTAGAATGTGGTAGTTTACGTTTACCACACATGGTTAGAAAGAAACAAAAGGTTTCACCAACAGCTTTTTAGAGTGGAAAGCATGATTGTTCAAGACATTCAATTTGAGGTAAAGAGCAAGATTTTGGGTTTTGCTCAGCCAAACTCTGCTCCTCTACCATGGCTATTGCATGCAAATGAGGACTTGAGACGATTGTGAGACACTAACCTCTGTGTATTGTTTGTATAGTTTTATCATTCTTTTTTTCACAATTTCCTTTGCTTTGTAGCCATTTATTAGCAGCTTTATTGTGTAGATAGTTATATTGGATAATAAAATTTACTTTTTTTCCAAAAAGTTAAACCATACAAAAATAATAATTAAAATAAAAACAAATCCCATAATATTAAAAGTGTTATTAATCAATTTATTGTGGATGTTTCACCTTCTTCATCTTCTCACCTCCCCACTTTCCATAGGATTTATACACTAAATATTGGTGTTACTTTTACTACCTCCATGCAATTACAATTGTAAGTAACACCCCATAATGCCATGTGTTTAGATGGTAATAATGAGATTTCTTGTAACCACTCCATTAGTAGGAGATTAATCCTTGTAACGTCCCATTTAAGGAGTGTTTATTTCTTGTAACTCCTATCATCTATTCGCCACTATATAGGGCTTGTACGGTTGTAAATGAATGGAGAACAAATGGAGAAGAAAAGAATGGATAGGGCTTGTACTCTTGTAAATGGATGGAGAACAAATGGAGAAGAAAAGAATGGAAATATAATATATATTTGCATTGCCACACTTTGTCTTTGTAATTTTTCTTCTTCTTCTAATTATTTTTTCTTTACTTTACAACACGTTATCAGCACAACTTGTCTCTATATGAATTACCATTCATGAATCTTATTTGAGGTGATGAACCAATTGAAGTAAAGATATAAGTTGAAGTAAAGTTTTGAAATAAGATTTTGAGACAACCTAGTCTTTCAGTTTCTTATTGTCTAATTTGAATATTTTATGGTGCTATAACAATTTTCTTGTTTATATGTTATTTTGCACTTATCAAAAGACTTTAGTTCATTGCCCTTGATAAATTTGGTTCTAGATATTTGTCATTAACTCTTGCTGTGAAAATTCATTTACCTCCAATGAATCTTGAAGATTTAATTGTGGAAGTAAACAAAATATCTCTTGAAGAAAGAAAATATTCTTGAAGAAAGAAAATATTCTTGAAGAAAATAGCATCCTTGAAGGATTGCGATGAGATGATATTTCTTAATTATGAAGTCTAGAAAGGACTAAGAGATGAATATTTGATGATGAATAATTCATTAGAATCATGGAATTGTTTGGAAGAAAGATGATCAAAAGAAAATTACAATTCTTTTAAAAAACTAGTTATGAATGGATTCATTTATTACTCAAATATAAATCCACAAATATTTTAAATTATCTCATACGGAGAAAAATTATTATTGATGAAAACATATAAGCGAATATACATTCTTTTTTTATGCCTCGAATATGCTCCAAAAGTAACAATCTCGAGAGGGTAATTTTAACATGTTTATTCAAAGTAAATGCATGTGTTCTTGTTGCCAACAAAATTATGAATTGATGAAAAATCATCGATCACAACTATTCATAACTGTTCATTTGATTCTATTCTTAAAAGAGAATGTGACTTATATTTTAATCATGGTTATGAATATGATTGTAAATGAAAAGATTTGCTAAATAAGTTGGCAATGGATTCGAAAGTTCTTATTATAGATATGACATGAATGAATATTGGTCACATATCTCTAATATATCCAAGCAATTTATGTGCTTATCATATATCTCCAAGTATTTGCTGGATTTGTTCCAAGTTTTACCCAATGAGAAAGGAAAAGGCACAAAAACATATTTTGTGAAAAATAATATTATGGAAATGCACTTGTGATATACAATTTTATTTTAACCTTGGGTATATTATATTGATTTTGAGAATATTAGGAAAAAGTGTTTCGAAGATTTGAGAAATTAAATATATATCCCAATGTAGGGATTGTGAATGACAAGGAGAATTATTTGAGATTAAGTCTTCTCAATAATAATTTATTTCCAATGAGAAGATGAGATGCAAGAATGCATCTATGAATGGATATAAATTTTATAATAATATTTCTCATATAGGGAATTTAAATCGCAAATTTTGAGAGTCACATTAATCTTATTTAATATCTCTCGATATAGAAGTTACATATTAATGGAGGTATATTTTGAAAATGGACATCCTTTTTATAGTGATGAAATCAAATATGAAAGTTAATATTGTGTAAAATATTACTATCATACAATGAATGTATAATGGTGCCTTTGTGATAAGTACAATGTGGCATATATGCACTCCTATTATATAAAATGTATAATAGTGAAACAAAACTTAACAAAATTTGTACCATTTTCAATGTGCAAAAGGTTATGCCATGATGAAATATCCTTAAAATAAAACTTTTTTCAGTTACACTTAGTTTGAAGCTAATGTGATGTATTTTGTGTTACAAGCTTGATGAAAAGTCCAAAGAGCTTGGAAATTGTTTACTATTAAAAACTCTTGAAGAGCTTGAATCTTTCAACTTGCAGAAACAAAATTTTAAAATATGTGATTAGTTGTATTCTAGTAGATTATAATATAATCTACTAACCTTTAAAAATATAAACATATAAAAGTTATCATATTGAAATCATAAATAAGAATAGGATAAAATGCCTCCTATGTCACATCTTTTATGTGGCCAAAAGGCACGTATTTAAAAGGTTTTTTTTTTTTTTGAATTGCATACATAAATCTAATAGGATCAATTATTGGGGCTAACTAGAAGTTGATCCTATAATAATTTGGGCCTATGTAACTTGATTATCAAGTGTTTTTTCATGTGTTGCATCCCCTGAGAACATGATTACCAAGCTTTTTACAAATACAATTGAAATATAATTTTCTTCATTGTTACATTGGATTGAAGGAGATATATAAACTTATGCTCAATTATTTGAAATATATTTTGACATATTATGACATTAATATATGCTTGAATATGAAGGTGAAAAAAAAGTCCCTTAAGTAATATGAAATATTGTGCTAAGAGTATATCTAGCTAGATAATTCCAAAGAAGGCTAAGAGTTTATATAGGTTGATTGTGGATTTTTTTTACAACAAAATTTGTTGATTATCATCTAAATGAATCATGTTCCTAGCACCAAGGGAAAGGAATAAATACTAGGGAGGCAAGAGATAACTTGAGATGTATTTTTCAAGATTCTCAAATAAGTTGATGTGAATCGAAATTTCAAAATTCTACCCTATTAATTGATGGATGCATTTATTAACAAAATGAAAGTAATAAATCATATATCTAAGCTTTAAAGATTCCTGCTTGTATTGATATTTTTATTACAAAAGTTCGTAAAATATTAGCAAATGAGTATATTATGTGAACACTAGAAGTATGTTATAACAAGTGATTCTAAGGATAAAAATACACAAATGAAAAGAAAGTATAAACAGAATGTTAATACTGCTAAAATCATAAAACTCCTAAAGAGTTCTTAAGGAAATCATCTTAAAAAAGGGGTTTAAGTACCCAAAAACAATGAGAATGTTGAAATTATATACAATGATGAGATTTCTATAAATTATAGTTTTCCTAAAAGAAATGGAACCAAAATGAAATTGTTATTGATAAGAAATTTTGCATATCTAATAGTGATGGATATAATCAATGAAAATGAGGATCTTTGGATCAAATTCATTGAAAATTGTCAATAAAGAAATGATTGGTCAATATGAAAAGAGATGATCCACATAGAATTAAAATCACTGTAATTACATGATATTTTTAGATTAGCATTCCAAATATATAATGAAATAGTATTTATTAAATTCATTCAAATGATAAGCCAACATATTCTCTTTCAAAAAATCATTGGCTTCTAGAACTTTGAGTAGCTAAAACATTAGATTGGCACAAATTGCCTTATTATGAATATACATTAAATTCAGGAGGGGTATCATATGCACTGTACTATTTTTCCCTTTGCAAAGGTTTTTTCCTTCATTGGGTTTTTTCCTAACAAAGTTTTTAATGTGAAAATTTAATAAGCATATAATAAAAGGTGAATATCCAAGAGAGAGTATTATGAATCAATTTATTGTGGATATTTCACCTTTTTCATCCTCTCACCTTTTTCATCCTCTCACCTTCTCATTTTTCATGGTATTTACACATTAAGTTTTAGTATAACTTCCACTACCTCCATGCAATTACAATGATGATTAACACCTTATAATGCCATACATTTATATAGTAATACTTGTAACTTCACCATGAATAGAAGATTAATACTTGTAACCTCTTATTTAATAGGTGTTTATTCTTTATAATTTCTATCACTTATTGATCCCTATATATAAGTTTGTATACTTGTAAATAAATGAAAAAAAAAATAAAAATATAATATATTTTTATATTACCTCACTTTATTTTTAAAAAAATTTTCTTATTCTTTAAATGAATTCTTTCTTTATTTTAGAACAAAATTTTTTTTTTCACCTAACTAATTTTTATTTCCCACTCTAATTCCATATACTACGGATTACAAAACATGAGATTCAAACAATAAATTTTTTGGAACCATGGGAGTAATTACCTCACGTGTCTTCTACCAAAAAAAAAAAAAACGTCACGTGTCAAAGCTTACGAATTTGCATGCGCCACTTATCACTTCCCTTGTCAGATTGTTTTGTTTTATTACAGTTTTTTTTTTTTAATTTTTTTAATATGGGACGTCTGATGAATCGGTCAATATCAGCAAGTGCCGGCAAACTGTTCCTCCGACGACTGTCTTTGACGAAACTTGCCACGTCATCGCGCAGATCATCTTGTCCTGGGAAAAAAAATAGTAGGCGTCGAATAAAATATTAAGATTTCCAGTGCTTTGAATCTGGCCGTGTAAACGGGCTCTATTCATATGAAGGATTTGCTGTATCTTTGAAGTCAAAGTGGAGAAGATTCCTCGAAAGTCATTTACTGCAGTAGGACGGCATCCTGTTTACTGGTACTTAAATAAAAAAACGAGAAAAATATGGTTGCAACAAATGCAAGTTGCAAAAGCTTTTGATTTTCAGAAAAATTTAAAAAATTGTGGGATTAAGATTCTCTTTTATTTGGTATTAATCTCTTAGTGTCCGGTAACCACTTTGAGTCTCGATTAATCTGAAATCGAGCTGCGTCGGACCTCATTAGAGGGGAAGCTCTCTCAGCGCCTATTTCTCCATTCACAATACTCAAACTCGAGATCTTATTTAAGGGAAACCGAACTCCTTCCACTCGACCCAACAGGTCGTTGGTGGTGGGATTAAGATTCTGCATTTGCTTTAAAGTGTCTTTAACAGTAAAAAGATTTTGAAAATCATTTTTTTATTTGCACTTTTAAAAGTGTGTTTATTATATTTTTATTATTAATTTATATAAAAAATTAAAAAAATAAATTTTATTTTTAATATTAAACTTATATTAAATAATTTAATTATGATTGATAAGATTAAAATTAATTTTTAATTTTTATGTAAATTAATAATAAAAATATATAAATTCTTTATAAAATTTTAAATTAAATGTCTCAAGCCACTAACATGTTTAATATTTAAATCTATTATTTTTTAATTTCACTAAAAAAATTATTATTAGCTGTTGAAATTGACTTAGTCTAAAACTTTGATATAAGTGTTAAAAAAGAAATGTGTAAATTAGGACGTTATTGTATTTTAAATGTCAAAATTTTATATAAAATTATTTAAATATTTATAATAATTTTTTCATGTGTTAATTA